ACAAGCACGATCGCCTCCTGAGACACAAAGCGTGCAATTTACAAATGCATGCAGATAAACACACAATATTCTGATTATTTTTCTGTGTTTTATATTAGAAAATAATTCTGCACATGAACAACCTTTATTTAACTGCCAAAAGTACAAAGAAATGACTTTTAATATTTTGACTGACCAACTTGATTGTATTTTGCAAATATAAACAAATTTAGAATTTGAAGCCTGCAACACCCTCAAAAAAAGTTGGGACGGGAAAAAAAATAAGAGTGAAAAGTTAATAGAGTATTCAAGTTACACTGTTTTGAAACATTCCACAATAAGCAGGTGTTGCAAAGATGGGTCGTGGTTCACTAAGCTTCATAAGAAAAGAGTTATGCTACTGTGTTATGCTACAGAAGTACTTCAGATGTACTTCAGCAATACTTTGGAAAACCACTGTTACTTAACACAGTCTGCTGCTGCATCAAGAAATGCAAGTTGAAACTATTACGCAAGGAGAAAGCCATACATAATTTCTGTGCAAAAACGCTGCCAAGTTCTCTGGGTCCAAGCTTATCTCAGATGGTCCAAAAGAGAGTAGAAATGTGTGCTGTGGTCAGATGAGTCCATGTTTCAGCTTGTTTTTGGGAAAAACAGATGTTGAGTTATCGGTGCCAAAGACAAAAAGGACCATACAGACTTTTATCAGTGAAAGGTGCAAAAGCCAACATCTGTCATGGTATGCATCAGTGCCCACAGCATGGGCTGCCTGCATATATTTATATATATATATATATATATATATATATATATATATATATATATACACACACACATATTTTCCAAAAAAAACTGATATTCTTTGTTAGTTTGAAGAACACTTTTTTGGGTCCAGATTTCTTCTTGATGTTAAATTTATATATATATATATATATATATATATATATATATATATATTATTATTATTATTATTATTATTATAAATTATGTTTTTAATTACTTTTAAACTAGATGCTACAACCAGAAATAAATATACAGAGATTATGTGAGGAAAAAAAGCACTTAGAAATAGTCCTGATTTGTTTAAAGGTGGTAATTACTAACAGAATTTGGTCCAATGAAACGGTCACCGTTATTTTTTGGGAAAACGTACATGATAGTCTGGAGGTATGTCTATTAACATTCATGAATAATTAAATCCTGCACAGCTGGCCAAAATCCAACTGCATAATTTACTAATTGCAATTAGGGAGGGTCAGGAAGTGCCTCAGTACAGTGTCCCTGGAGGCTGGAGAGTGGAATTCATGACAAGTCACCACATATCATCACCCATATTAATAGTGGACATGTTTTCTGTTTTTCTGATGGCAAAACTTCAGTATCAAATCCAAATCTTTTTGCATGTGGCACCAAACATGTCATCGTAAGTCTCGTGCAGAGGAAAAAAAAAACAGATGGTGTTTTTGGTAGAAAATGTGCTCGCTTTGCTTTGAGAAGCGAGTGTCTGGGAGGTTACTAAGGCAAAAGGGGAGTAAGAAAAGCTTGAACCACGAAGGCAGCCAAACTTTCAAATTGCCGATTGCCCTGCACAACCCTCTGTCTCTCTCTCTGTCTGTCTCTCTTTCTCTCTCTCTCTTTCTTTTGACAGGGAGAGGAGATGGCTTCTGTTCACATAGGCACACGCACCAGAAATCAAATTGATTATTACACAGTAGAGTGGATCCTCTATTTCTATACATGTTTCAGGGAGCGTGTCCTTTTGAAGCGTCACGAGAAATGCATTCTCTCCCTGCTCTGTCTGCCCCCCTCCTTCACTTTTGAAAGGCACAGATGAGCACAGCGCCACAAAGAAGGTTCACAATGCATGTCAACTCCCATTCTGCCTGTGCAATAGAAACATAGCAGAACAGCAGCCTGGCTCCAACCATCGCCCACCAAAACAAGCTGTTATGCTAAACTTCACAATTAAACTGGAGCTGAGGCAACAGTGAGGCCTTCCTGCATTTGAGCCTTCACATCTGCACTCTCTTTCTTATTCCAGTGTTTGGAAACCACAAGACACTGACAGGTCTTTCTTCTAATCAGCCAACACGCAGTGAGGAACCTGCTTTGAAAATGAGAGGGAGTTGAGGGTGGAAAAAAAAGAAAAGAAGAAACAGAAATAGACTGCAGTCCTTTGACTCAGACCATTAACGTTGAGGTGTGAGATACTGTCTCACTCATCCGTCACTCTGGCCCGGAAGTTCCAAATGTCAGACACAACGATTCCTCAGCAGCCTCCCCTCCTGCTCCGCGCAGACACAGGCAAGATATTGTATCGAACGGGGGCGGCTGAGAACAAATACAAAGCTTTGAGCTAATGCTTCTGTTCATTACAGCTGTCCTGATGAATGGCACTCGCGCCGAAAGTTTCAGAAGCTCACCTGGGATGCAGCAGCGCTGCCAGATATCAGTCTGACCAGTGGAGAGAGAGAGAGAGAGAGAGAGAGGAGGAGTGAGTGAGTGAGTGAGAAAGCGAGGGAAAGCAAAAGAAAATGGGGTTGAGAGACACAAAAAGAAGGGAGTGTGAGAGACAGGAGAAAGGAAAGAGGTGGGCAGCAAGCGAGAGAGAAAGCGAAACAGAAAGAAAGACAGAAAGAGAGCAAGACAAGAGATAGAGACAAAGAATGAGACAGAGAGGGGTAGAGTGAGAAAATGAAGGGGGAGAGTGAGAAAGAGAAAGAAGGTGAGAGAGAGAGAGAGAGAAGACAGTGAGCAAGGGAAAGAGGGAAAGGGAGAGAAAGAAAGAAAGAAAGAAAAGGGGGTGAGTAAGAACCATGGGAGAAAAAAGATAGGGAAAGAGAAATAATGAGAGAGAGATAGCGAGAGAAAGATAGCAAGAGAAAGTGTGTGTGTGAGAGAGAGAGGGAGTGAGAGAGAGAACAAAGGAGAAAGGGAAAGTGAGAGAAAAGGGGTAAAGAGACAAAAAGAAGAGAAAAAGAAAGGCAGGGAGTGAGCAACACAGTATGGGTAAGACAGCAGAGATAGAGACAAAGGACGAGATAAAGAGAGAGGAATAGTGAGAGAAAGAAGGAGAGTGAGAAAGACAGAGCAAAGGAGAGAGGGGAGAGTAAGTGAGAGAGAATGTAAGGGGAGAAGCATAGGAGAAAAAAGAGATGGAAAGAGAAACAATGAGAGAGAGAGAGAGGAGGGAGAGTGAGAAAAAGAAGAGAAAAAGACAGAGAGAGAAAGAGAGACAAGGGAGAGAGGGAAAACAACAGATAGATAGTGAACCAGAGAGAGAGAGAACAGGAAGAGTGAGAAAAAGAAAAAGAGACTGAAAAAGAAAGACAGGGAGAGAGGGAAAGCAAGAGATAGACAGCGACCAGACAGACAGACAGAGAGAGAGAGTTTAAACTGTAAAAGGTTTGTTGCTATGGTGACTGAGCAGCAGTAATAAAAAGATGAAGGTCTAAAATGAAATTCAATAAGAATAACTTTAAAAGCACAAGATGTTTAGCTGCGTTTGACTGTGTGGATCTGTATTACAGAGGTCTCATTGGGTGAACTAATGCATACAGGGCTTCGAGTGGCTCTGAAACAATGCACCTCCAAATTCAAATACCACAGTAAATCCACATGCAGCCAGAAAGAGCGGAATGAATGCAGATTGAGCACAAGAAGTCGTAAGATGTAATTCATCTGCCTCCCATTTCCCTGTTTGAGGGCAGAATTCGGAAGCTTTGAGGAGAGCAGGCTGCGAGGGAAACGATCATTTAAATTCAGTTTGCTTTGAGGCTTGGCAGAAATCCAAACTCTGGGTAATGGATCCATACTAAAGGCAGAGCTAATGAGAAAACGTACATGACAAAAGCCTTATGGTTCCTGGTGTTGGAGCTGCAACCCCCCACCCCCACTGCTCACCACCAAATGGGTGCAGCTGTAACTTACATGACCCTGACCAGGAGTGAGCTGTTAGTTCACAGTAGCCAGTGGCAGTGATATGGAGTCACAGTGTGAGGGTCTCTCACTCCAACTAATGGCATTCCACTTCATAAATGAAGTCCTTTGTATTTCCAAACAAACTTAATTCAAAGTGTTGTTTATTCTGTTCTAGCTAGCTGCTTCGGAGTGATCATCAGTTTGCTTGGGCCAATTTCCTAAGCTGGCTGTGGCAGTAATGCGAGGCGCACTTTGATCAATCCCGCTGACTCTGTCCTCTTTGTTCCTGGCAAGCATAATGCATGTTCTTCTAACAAGCAGAAGATGTGACCTGTGTGGAAGCGCTTTGGCTAGTGCCGAGAGCTGTCCTGAGGTCAGATCCCCCACATCATCTCTGCGAGAGTCCGCCGCCGCACACCCCCACAGCGCCACTGCCACTTAACGCACCGCACCAGTGATGATCGTTTACTCTGGCCCCGGGTTCATGCCGGCGGCCCCAGATTGATGCCATGTTGATTTTTAATGATGTGCGGCAGGATGCGGGCAGAGGCGGAGCCGGTTCTGCGCCGCGTCCACGCTAAATGTCATTCTAATTATCTCACCGGCCAGCCAATGAGGAAGTAAACATTTACGCTAACCCGTGGCCCCTGAAGCGGAGCCCGGGCCCCAGGCGGCTCCTCCGGTCCCACAGCCACTGTGCTCATGTGCCTCATCAAATGCTTCTGATCTTCTCAACATCTAATCAAACCAGGCTGCAGTGAAAAACAGTCACTGTATACATTTATCCCTGTTTTTGTCCTCTAAAAGGGAGGCTATGCAACAAGTGTGAATACAGCAATACTCATTCTTACCATTACATCTGAACAAACATAGTGATTACCAGATAGGAGTACCTATATTAATGCCAGGATTTGTCCTCTGGAGGGCCCTTCAAATGCTCTTTATTTATTGCAGATTTGCTGGGTGAACTCATTAACCTCTATTAATCTCTGTTAGCACTACGCTTGAGGGAACTGTCTACTTTGGATGCAGAATAAATAAATATAGTATGCATGACTTTCCCACATTCACCAATACATAAACACCCATAACATCAGCACTGTTGAGAGAAAAAAGGCTTTTTATTAATGTAAATATAGACAAATGAGGAAAACACAACATGTTCAATTAGTTCAATTAGTAGTACAATTTAAGGAGTAATTTGACTCTACTTACTCGTCAATGTTACAATTCAGTTCATACAGATATCATCTGAAATACTGTGTCACTCAGTGAACCACGCCATGAATAGACTGAATAATTCTTGGAGCCCTTCACAGTGACAGCTTGTCGACACATCCTCACACCCTGTTCTTGCGCAGTAACATTTTGTAGCGCTGACATGGAACAGTGGCATAAACCCTGGCGTGTGGACAGGTATACGGCCCGGCGACATGCAGCCGCCGTGTTTCAGACGCTGCATTAGCAGCTGTCTGCCGGAGTGGCCATAGTGCATGCAGCCAGGAGCAGCGAGGATTTATTGAGATAGAAGTGGTCAGAGCTGACCTTTAGGGTCCAGAATGAATCACAGCTAGTCTTCATATCTAATGATCTGGAAACAGTCAACGGTGACCTTTCCCCATGACGTTCACCGTATAACACGAGCAGGCTAGCTTTCAGAATTACCGCTTACTGGTCAACATATCAAAAGGGGCTGGAATTGTTATAAAGGCCATAAATGTTAAAGAAGAACTACAATGGAAAAGTTGGTCTCAAATAGCACTGGACAATGAAAAAACAGGTTTTAGTCCACAATTCTAATAATTATTGAGATATAGCAGTTTACTGGTTGTTTGAGATGTTTAAAACTCAGCTTCTACACTGTTCTGAAAAGTGCATAATAAATGTTTTGATTTTTCGCAGGCCATATCATTCACTATGCATCCATCTTCATTAGCACGCCTTGTGTGTCTGATGATTTCCCGTCCACATAATGTCTCATTTGACCAGCAAGCCTGCAGGATGAAGTGTCGCTGCATTCTGCTGGGAGATACAGCAAGCAGTGATGGCATGGGCTTCCTGCATCATCATAAACATCCATTATTTGAATCCTCCCTCTTCATTCTCATTAGCACAGCCCCGACGGAAAGGAGCGAATGAACTCCACGACAACATGTTGCCCCGCTATTGTTTTGAAATAACGCAACTGTTTTTGCCTGCACGATTATTTCTGGATAATTGGCTTCAGAATATAAGGCAATTATTTCTCAAAACTAATTATTTTCTTTTTTTCCCGCTCACAACAAAGGTCATTTTTCACACTGCAATTATGAACAGAAATCAATGCTCTGATGTGGACGTTTGTTGGTGAGTTTTTTTATTTTTTTTAATTCTTCCTCATTTTCTCTCTCTTTCATTCAGCATACAGGCATGACGGCTTGAGGGAGGCCTCTCTTTGGCATGTAGGGCGTTGTCCTGGCAACCATTCGGATGCAGTCGATGATGGGACAGACGCTGAGGCAGAGAGTGCAGCCGGTGCAGCTGTCCTGAACCACAGGAAGATGGGTCTCAGGGTCAAACGTAATCGCCTGCCAGAGAGAGGGCAGCACACAATATTAGATTACAATCATTACACCCTCATCAGGGGGTACAAGGAGCTACCACTGGACATTCAACAACACATGCACTGCCATGTGCTCCACATAGCCGGAGAGAAAGACTGGCTTTCTTATCCTTTACAGGTTCCAAAAGCTGGCATTTGAGTCATAGATCACTGGAGCACAGGATACATGGTAACTTACTGTGTCAAAGTACAGAACTTCCATTAAGTCTGGTGCACTTCTTTTCATAAGGCACAGCATTTGACCACATGGAATGGGCAAGTATTACTGCTGCATTTACCGCATTAAAAAACAGTAGAAATATCATTGTGGCCTACAAATATCGGAGCCTTTTTTTGCATCGTATGCCGGGCCACCTATTTGATCGTGACACATTATGTTGATGAATGCCTTTCTATATTAGAAACCATTAATAACATGTAATCCCTCTCAGAGATCCACTCACCGACAATGAGCGTCACAATGAACAATTACTGCTTTGATAAAACTGGCCCGCTACTTCATCAATACCCTTATGATAAATTGTAGGAGACATTTATTTAGCAGGAGAAAGCAGGAGAAAGCGGAGACAAATACTTTAATAAAACTGTCACAGCTATCCCATCCCGCGCTCCTCTCCGAGCCGAGGCAGAGGGGGACCTCGCCATTTTCACTACTAATATGCATCAGTGGCTCTGCCGAGAAAACAAGGCCGGATAATGAGGTGCTTTTAGGCTGCCGGTGAGTGGGCCCGAGCAGCTCATCAGCCACTTTTCCACTTTTTAATTGTTCGTGTCAGCTTTGGGCACGGTGAGTTGGCCAGAGCTAACTTCAGTAATGGCTGCTGAACTGCAGGATCAGGGGCAGGGTAATGCGATCTTCCACCAGCTAGTGGCTATGCGGCTATGGCAGAAAAAATATGAAACTCAGAGCCAGACAGGGGTGAAGAGAGAAAAGGTTATAAACAGAGGCTGCAGGCTGTGGGTTTGTGTGGGTACAGGCATGCATGCAGTGTGTGTTTTGTGCAAATTTGTGTGAATGCACCTGCGTGTGTGTATGTGTAAATGTCTGTGGGTGGATGGATGCAGCACCTGGTATCCAGAGTCATTGCAGGTCATGTAACACTTCCCACAGTTGATGCACATCTCCTCATCTATGAGAGCCTGTACTTGCTCCTGGTTGTTCAGCTCCTGGTACGCTCCGATGTGCTTCAGAGCTCGAGCTATCACATCCTGACCACAGAGGACAAATAAGCGTTAGCCACATGTTAGCTAAAATAAACCTTCAGGGCTCCCCCATACTCATAATTTATTATGATTATTATGATTCGGAAGCAGCACTGATGAATGGATAGGGAACGATGTCAAGTCATATAAATTACACTCTTTAAAGTTTTACTGGTATAGAACTTTAATCTTAAAAAAATGTTCCTCACACTTGCACATCCCTTTTATAAAACTGCTTTCCTTAAAGAACCATCCTTTGGGGCAGTGGTTCTCAAAATGGTCTTCAGGGATTCTCACACAGCCCACATTTTGGCTCCAACCCAACTTGCAATATCATAGGGATAGAAACAAATGTGAGTTGTCTGAGGCTCCCTGAGGACTAGTTTGAAAACCACTGCTGGTCTTATTTTATTTCGACAATACACTATGGTCCCTCATACATTATCTACAGATGTTCAATTGGATAATAAACTATCAGGTTGATTCTTAACAATGTTAGGGTTAGGATTTGGAAAAGCATTATGGTTGGACCAAGGTTATGGTTTAGTTTTAAGTTTTAGCTTAAGGTTGAGGGTTAAGACCAGTTTATGGTTATATAGATTACAGTGAATTTAATAGATTGAGCTGAATGTAAGTTAAAATTTAAGTATCTGAAGAGTATATAAGAGTATATTCCAGTGGTTCCTCTATGGCAATGGCCACCAACCCTGGTCCTGGAGGAAACTGGAGCACCTGGAGGAAACCCACGCACACACATGGGGAGAACATACAAACTCCACATAGAAAGGACCCCGGTCACCCAGCCGGGGAATCAAACCCAGGCCCTTCTTGCTGTGAGGCTGTGAGGCAACACCGTGCTGCCCGAATCACTCCAAAGAACCCTTTTGAGAACCTTTATTTTTAAGCGTGCAGAGGTGTTAATCTCTGACCTTACAATGATTTGATTTGATTGAAGTTCTTCAGGAAAGGAATCAATGCCTCATGGAATTTCAAATTTCACAATAATTTAATTTAATTAGATTAGATTTTTTTTAAATTTGTATTTGAAAATTGTTTTGCCCATAAAAATAAGTGCATTAGTAATTAGTATAATTGATTTTGATATTTTAATGCGTGATTCAGTTAAATCATCACCTTCAGATGCATTTTTACAAATCTAGTGTAAATCAACACTTACTTGAACTGTTGGCACAGGTTTCTTAGGGGTGTTGATTCTCGAGCCACCAGAAGGAATTGTGTTGTCACTCTGATTTGCCAGCTTCTGTTTGTAGTTAGCTATGGCCATCTTCTTCTCCTGGAGATATGGACCAAAATTGGGCAATCTCTGTCAGGGGAAAACCACACAAGACAATTGTTAAAACACAGTTAAAAATGCACTCAATCTTTAAATGGTCGAAGTATGCATTCCATTTATTAGCCCTATTCTAAAAACATAGACTATTTCTAATCCTTTAGTACACTCTCAGAAAAAGGTACTAATCTGTCACTGGGGCAGTACCCCTCTTGCCACTGGGGTGTTACGCTCAAGGGTACATCTCAGTACCTTTAGTCAGGGAACATAAGTGTACCTTAATCCACTGAAATTATTTTCTAAATTGTATTGACGCCACACACACCGTCTCATCGCCAGTCTTTTTTATTTTCTTGTTCTGGTTATGAAAAGGTACAAATATGTACTTTTCCACTGGGAAAACCTATTTAATGTACACAATTGGACCTTAAAACCACTGTTTTGTCTTTGAGTAAATGTACGTTTGACGGTACATTTACACTGTTCGTACGTTGATGAACAAAAAGTGTACCTGCAAAGCACCTTTATTTCTAACAGTGTAAGGCAAGATAGTGCCCAAAGAAAACCGAAAGATTTGAATCCATTAGGTTATGAAAAGGTACAAATATGTACTTTTCACCTGGGAAAAACGTAGTTAAGGTACACAGTTGGACCTTAAAACCACTGTCGTACCTTTGAGGTACATTTACATTGTTTGTACCTTGATGAACGAAAAATGTACCTGCACAGAACCTTTATTTCTAACAGTGTATATGTTAAACCAGTGGGCTTCTGATCTGGAAGAGGTGTTTCTTTTGACTCATCTACCGTATTCAACACAAAACAATCATATTCTGCATTCTGTGTCAACCATTCTGTGTGGTATTGAATTTCTGCATCTTTCTCTCGCTTTTATTCAGTGCAGTGCGTTCTCCTTTAAGATTTCCTCACCAGGGAGACTGGTATTTATGCTTACTAGTGATTATTGAGTCATTGGGCTTTAGATGCCATGTGTACTAAGGCATCAATGCTGCATCCCTCATTAGAGCATCAGAGAAAAACAAACATGCAGGAGAAGAGAATAAAAGCTCAAAGCCAGCCTGTCCGACTGCATTAAAGCCTCACCGCTCGCTTTTGAGTAGTGGCCACTGTTTTTCATCGTCGAAAATTAATGAGATCCTTTTGGTCAACATTCAGCGGTTTAAAGTCCTAGCAACTGGGGACATAACTGATTTCATTACATGTGGTTAAGAGGCTGAAAGGTTGCTTGTGTATTGTACAAGTCGACTACATTTTAATGCTTAAAAAACATGTTGCCAGGCATGTTAGATCAATATTACATCTCTGTTCCCCAAAGCACACGGCACATATTATACAAATTGTTTGTGTATAAAAAGTGAAATGAAAGTTGATGCTGGTCATGCCGAGTGATTCTAAGAGATTACCGTCCTTGCTTTAGCACGTTTGTATCTTTTGAGGGCCCTGTACTGTAAAATCATGCAATATATTTGCAAAAATATTCATTTGCCATTCAGGCTTAAGACATTACCATGTCAAGGAGCAGGGATTGCCTGCTCGCTCAAAGTGGAGGCTGCAAGCTAATGCACTCAATGCTATTCCACAAAAGTGATCCTATGGGGAAACACTATTTCACTGCATGCACTTAACATGCTGTCTGATATGGGCTGTTATTACCATGCAGTGTTCCGAAACACGTTTTTCACCTGGACCTGAATGCTGCACGCATATGGAGAAGTGTTCAGACTGTAGACTTTTGCATAGTGTGCATGCACTAAAAACTGAAGTGTTCTGGATTCCCTGAAGTGGTTTGCAAAGACTCTTCACTCATAGACATATGCATGCGTTTGCGACTACACATTAAGAGAGAGAGAGGCGAATCAGAGGGATTCAGTTTCACAGTGCAACAATATGTGCAGACATTTATGTAAGGAGAGACAGATCACTTGGCTAAACGAAAAGAGCAACATATGAGTCTCGGTGCTCCCCCCTGAACCCGCGAGCCTGATCATGGTGCTGCTGCCTCCACGCTATAGTGTGCCTAATAAAATCCACTGTAATGGAATCCATGCAAATGTGAAATTAATGCCTTCTCTTTCAATCTGGCTCTCTCCTCATTCCCATTCTCTCTTCCCTAACTCCCTCTATGGCCCCTCTCTCCGATCCTCTCTCTATCTTGTGCGATTCATGAGGAGGTAATTTGACGCGAGGTTCGCCCAGTCACCCCATTATCGTCACACACAGCTGCTTGCTGCGCGGCTGATGGGAGGGGGGCCGGAGCTGGCCGATTCCGCCACAGTGCCGCATCTCCTGGCGTGTGCTTAAGCGGAGAAGTACCTGCTCGTGGTGATTTCCCTAGATTACCATATTCATGACAGTTTGGAGTGAGAGAATTCCACACGCCGCTGCCCTGGACGCAGGAGGGGGAATTACGGGGCCGGCTGGCAGGCGCTTTGTCTTCAGCCTGCCGAGGACTAGCGGCCGGCCTGCAGCTCCTGCGCCGTTGCGTGGAAACAGCGGGGGTGAGGGGCAAGCAGCTGTGGCAGCGGGATGTGGCGCAGCGCCTGTGTGAAAACGCAATCACACGCACCAGCCAGAGCACTCCGAATTTATTTCATCCCCCCGACTCTTGCGGCAGAGAGGAAAAGAACGGCTAGGTGGGCACAGCAGGCCAGGCCAGCCAGAAACACACAGGGTGATCAATACCGGCTGGTACTTCAAATTTATTTGCTTCTGCTTTTTGCAGACGCTTCCATGTTGAATTATACTCTGAAATTGAGATCCAGATAGGCCTGTCAACATTATAAGCGAAAGTCCTTTTAAGCTCGGATAAATATAGCCCCTACAGAGTAAGCACTGTGAGTTACTACAGCTCCTAATGAGAGCAGTATCTGAGCACGCCCACCTGAAATGGCTTTCGTTCCACTTGGAAAACTAATGAAGACTGTTTTGCTTTCACTGTCATTTCTTTATTTCCCTGGCAGAAATTCTTAAGATTTAATTACTTACTTTTACCATATTTCTAAGAATCAGTTTAACTAGTTTTTAAACTGCTGCACTACACTGTAAATGTATAGGGCAATTCACTTTAGCAACTAATGAATCTCCACAAAAAGATCAGAATATCAACACGAGAAGAAGGAAATATGGCAAGATCCATTTTGGCAGGTCTGATGAATCACAACAGAAGGATGGAGAATTTAATGCTGGAAATACAGCAAAATTCTTTTGGCAGCTACATATTTAGAATCTAGTCTAAACATGAAATGAAGCCTAACAGTCTCATCACTCCTGCTTTTGTTTTTGGAAAGTTAGCTGCTGCAAAGTTATTCTGACACAGCAGAAAAACAAAGCCTCATCCTGGAGTTTTCACTGTAGAAGCACACTGTCAAAGCTGTTGCAGATAAATGCTGGTGGAGATGAAGAGCATGTAGCATGTCTTCATCTCCACTGGTAAAAAGAATTCACTTGTATGTGTGACATCAATGCATCATAGAGAATGCTCTTAGTGAAAATCATTTAATAGAACAGCAGTAAAATCACAACACATTGCAAAAGGCACTCCATCATTTCAATTTCTCTATGCATTCATAAGTCACGTGTTTTGCACAATGCATTCATATGCTGTCTGAGTCCATTACTGTAAAGGCTGATCAAAAGATTAGATGTTGCACTCCTCAGGTTTGTGCAGGTACAATGAGAGGATGCCGTGTCACAAGTTTGAAGTGAAAACTCAAAGCTGGGCCCACGCAAAGCCATCCAGATGAAAGAAAGGTTCGAAGCAGAAGCAGCCAGAGATATGCATATTCTTCCGGAGAGCTCCTCAATGCGGTCTGACAAGCCATCAGCCAGCAAAACGCCGCTGTATGATAAAAACATTAAGGCTTATTGCTCTCCATTGTCATTAAGGAAAGACATCCGGTCATGAGTCTGACAGAAGGGAAAAAAAAATAAACAACCCTGAAGCATAATAATTGTGTGATTTATCCTTACTAAACTACAGCAGTGGGCCGTAATTAAATATGAAAACCTAAATTTATCTCTGAGTGTTCAGCCCTCATTAATTTAACCCGGCGACAACACAAAGTCCTAATCCAGCCGCAGTGTTTTTCTTTCTTCTTTTTCTTCTCTCTCTCTCTCTCCCCTCCCCGTCCTCCCACCCAACCATTACGGAGCATTAAAATGTATATTAGGCTCTAGGGCCCATCAGCAAAAACCACAGGGAGAGAGAGGGAATGCCCAGAGAGGCGTCAGGCAAGTCAAACTCAGTACTGGGCATGGCATAAAGTGAGGAAGACACACACTTAGGCTCATTAAGACAAAGCAGCCTCTCCGCCGCGTCCCGCATGTTCTGCATGATAGCCGCCTATTTGTTGTGTAATAATTCAGCGGCCGTCTATTGAAAAGTTGCCTGAGTTGCTGAGCTGTGTGCGCTTTAATGAAAGTGCTGGGTGGCATGGTACACCCTGCCTGCCAAGCTCATGTCTTCAGCAACCACACAAACTCTCTTAATTGCATGCAGTGTTTTTCCCAAAACACACACACATACACACACTCTAGTGCATAAACACAAACACACACAAACACACGAGAGAAACTGTCATCAGCTTGAATTTTAGCTCCTTTTTTCATTTGCATTGCCCTCCTCTCAAAGCAAAGTTGTAAATCAAGAGTGTGGGTAGTGAAGACAACAAATAACCCATCAGTGCATCTGCGATAATAAATGAGAGAGGCGTGCTGCTTGACACAAGTAATTGTCAATACAGAGCACAATTTAGTAGACAGGAAATTATCACTGGAGAAGTGGAGCAACCTGTTTCAACCTCTCTGCATTATCCAAACTTACACTTTAATGGAGAAAGGTATTCACTAGTGACTTACTAATCTCATCCAGACACTTTTGATAGATATCATTTGTATTTCTCCTCAAAAAAGGAGGCAATTTATAAAATACAAACCCAACAAGTCCAGCTGACTGAGTGGAAAGATGCCTTCAAGCAGCCTTATCTCTAGAAGACTCTGCAATTGAACATACAATACACTGACTGTTCTTCTCTATACAGGAACATGGACTAACAGTAAAAGTCTTCTGCCTGTCACAATGCCAGCAGGCTCTGAGAGAAGCCTGGTACCTGTCTCAGGGGTCTGATATGTACAGGCTAATCCCATTGAGCAGGCCCACACCGATGACAATAACTGTACATCTTCACACTGGCCAGGCTAATGGGACAGAGGCTTGCTGACTCCTCTCACATCTAATATGCACTGAAGCAATTCTCTAAACGGTCCTCTACAGGCCTGCCTTGCCTGCTCACAGCTTCATGCACTAATGATTCCATATGTCACATAAAATAAACATGATCTTAATTGGGCTTTTGGATTAAAAGATGGGAGCTTGGATTATGGCTCTGAAGGTAGTCTCTCAGCATCTCAGCCCATTATGATATAACAAATGTGTCTCCCTTCGGGGAAAAAAAAACTGATATTGAGGCATCTGTCCTCTCATGCACATAGAAATTCAGTGTAGGCCTACATACAATGCATTGTTCTGACAACAATTACAGAAAAATCAGTAATGTAGTAGCATCTACTTGCACATTTTTCATGTTTTTCACCCACCTACAACAATGGTTTAATCACACAAGCTGAATTATTGCACAAAAAGAAAATCACTGTCAAAAACTAGTCTGCTGATTATTCACAGTATGCATAAACCATTTTTAATATTTGCGGTAAAAAGCAACATTTCGAAGGGATTTGGCATACTTGATCCAAACTGCACTATGGAAGTGCTGTAACTCGCCCCACTTCACTGCCTGCCATGATGGCAGATGTTAGATTAGATTCATTACGTCAGTGAAGTCATGTGCAACAGCATGCTGGTTGCAATGCACTATGGGACCAGAATTTGCTTAGTGAAATCCTACTAAAATGTAGAAAATAACATGGATCAATCTCAGTAGTTACATTTGAGAGGAATGTACAGTATAAATGTTCTTAGAGGATCAAGGGCCCATTCAGTGAAACATGGTGAATTAAGGTAATAACAATCTGCTTCTTTTATTTGGGTTTCAAAGGCAATCGCTCTGTTGCTTTACACACAGGCACATAGCTGTGCGCACATAAACGCACACGCACACACTCCATCTGGTCCAGCCACTCCCTCCCTAACCACGGCATGAGAGCCAAGCTGTGGCCACTCGCTGAGGAGGGTAAAGCAGGCTGGCTGAAGGCTTCATTACCACCACAGGCCTGCCAGGCAACACGGCACCACACTGCCAACCAAACTGCTATTTAAGAGCCTCCATGCCCCCACCTGCTGGCTGCCTCTCAGTGTGCCTATGCTCCACCCCCTGTTTGGCCTGGCTGGAGAAAGCAGAGGTGTGGGGGTGGGTGGTCAGGTCACTAGCAGGGCCGCTGTGGGAGGGCTTCAGAACCTGCTGGTTTCCCCCATGTTCCCACACAGTGGTGGGCTGCAGTTTTTTTTTTTTTTCCCAGCTAGTGGGCACCTGCAGCACAGCCTTCCCCATCTATAGGGGTCAGAGTGATACTTTGCATCAAATTACAAAACTTTCCCCTTAAAAAATGGACAAAAGTTTGTTACGTAGCTAAAAACACTTACAGACATCTTAAAGCCTGAATTAGAGAATTCTGTCTTGTGTCCATTCACTTTTAAACACGTCATACAGTATCAGAAACAACATGAGACTACTTGAGGTTTGTTTACAAGTACACAATGCTAATTGATAGATAAAAGTTTCTGTTATTAGCTACATATACGTTGTGGCTCCAGTTCAAAACTAAAGAAGCAAATTTTAGACACCAAACACAATCGACTACATTTGGGGTAAGGAAAAACTGTTTCCATATGATTTTTGGCCATCGCTTTAATGGTCTCCAGCAATACATATGCGGGTCGAAAAAGGGCAGCAAAGCAGCACACAGTCATGGCATAGCAGTGATAGCAGTAACTGGTTTTTCACATTCTCTGCACACATTGCACTATGAGCCCAAGCACACTGCTTTTTATTGGACTTGCTGCATTACTGCTTGCTTATTGCATTGAAGGTGAAAAAAATCAAACACACATTAACTAGTTTTCAGTGGAAGGAAACTGGGGGGAGGAACACTTTGGAAATGGCATGGAAAACCCCAAATGGCACAGCACACTTAGGCATCAAAGATGTGCTGCTCATCCCTTGAGGTAGCAACGCTTGCTACAGAGGCTGCCCGTTTGAGACAGCACTCTGACTGCCTACATTAAACAAAGAGAGAGAAAATATGTCTTTAGTTGAGCGCCGCTTTAGGCTCCCCTTTATCAACTGCCATTCCTGTGAATTGCTGTGACAGTGACTTCTGTGCACTCAACCTCTCGCTCTCACGTTCCATCTCTTGAGTTATAGAGCTATCAAACTGCCTTTTCCTGCTAGCCTGCCTCATATCCTCTCTGTGGCTCACTTATTCTCCAGCTCTACTCCTCCGCCACACACACTTAAAGTGGAAATGCCCCTCCTTCCCTCGCAACTTCTTGCCTTTTGTTTGACACAGTCAATCTTTGTCTTTCCCTCTCTGGTGCTGCAGATGAAGTGTGTCTGTACAGATGCTTTCCTTCTCCAGTCCTGGGAAACTCTCGCACAGGTGAGCTGTCAATCACAGGCCTCAGTCAGGGCTTCAGCAGGGGCCAATACAGGAGAGAGGCTGACAGGTAATATCTCCAGCCTTCAACACCCAACACACAGCATATTCCACAACACCCTCTCTATATTAACTAGACTAAAGGATGACCTCGAGTGCGTGTCTCTTTTTTCCCCCTCAGTAAACTGCACTGGTAAGCAGCAAGTGGAATAATGAAAAACTCTGAAATGGCATCCAAAAGGCCAGAGACATGATCTCTCCAGCGGAAGTTGAGCGCAGTGGTTCGGGAGTTTACAATAGCAGAAGTAAATCGTGGTGGCCGCAGGAACTCGAGGGCATTGATTTGTAGCAGTGCGCTCGCATCAGAGAGCCTCTGGTGTGGCCCTGGCTGTGACCCATTCGCTGAGTGGCTTTTCCCTCCTGTGTGTCACTGTGCTCTAGTGTATGGCAGTAGATCTGGTGCTGCGCTGCCTGGGGCTGCCTGGGCCACACGGCTCTGTCTGCACTCATGTTTCTACACAACACTTTACTAAAACGCTGCTCCCTCCGCTCATGCAACGCCGCTGTTATTGTTGTCGGCATGCCGACGACTCCAGCAATAACGTCCCGTTGGCATAGAAATGACTTACACTTATCACTCCTCCGATATTGCCTGCTTCCCACTCATTTATTTCCTCATTCTCTGCCACTCGTTTGGCATTAGCATTTAAACTATTGCGCTCCGCCATGGCGAGATGTCCTGCCGTCAGAAGCTGCGAAAGGCGCTGCCGGTGCATTTGAAAGCATGCGCGGGCTTCAAAGCCTTCCCTGGGCTGGTGTATTAGCAGGAGCGCTGTGATCTGATAAAGGCCTCTAATGCACCGCTTTGAAGAGAGTTTACTGAAGTTTTTCTCATTTACATATTGCCTAAAATTTCTTGTGCACAAATAATAAGGCAGATTACCAAAGGCAGAATGCACATGCAAAACATGAGCCAATGAATGTGCGAATGGCTGCTTTTGTCCAATCTCATTTTCAGTTTCTCTCTTATTGTGATGTTGCTGTTATGTAAATGTCCTGGGCAAATGGAAAAAAAAAACTTGCAGCCTTCAAGTAAACCAATTACTTTTTTCCTGCAGCTCAAAGGAAACTTTTGTATTTCAGGTTTTAGATTAGATCTCACAGCAAACCATGCCCCTTCCCACAAGCTCTCTTGACATTTGTGGTTCTTCGCTGCCATTATTGCTTTTATTAGCAGACAAGCTGTGACCTGCCCTTCATTAGGTTAAGATAATGGTCATTTTCCCCCAAAAGGCTCCCTTGTTTTTTCTCACAGATGTACTGTAACACAGCGCCATAAAGACTGACCTCTGCACTCCATCAATTCACCAAGTTCTCTGCCGCTATATGAAATTGCTTGCCATAGAAGTGGGCATTTTATGCTTTGGACAGCGCTGTAATTATGTGAATTCCTGGCCTGTAATAACAATGTAACATAAATGAATAGATACAAGTCCACAGCTATAATGCCAGCGCTGCATTAATGAGTACCTTCTCTGACTGCTCTGGAATTACAGTGTGTTACTACTAATGGCCAGTCAGAGGCCTATAATAAAAAAGGATAATGCAGAGAGAATGGGAGAACAGGTGTAAAGACTAGAGTGGGGCTAAGAGGCAGAAGCGCAGGGTTTTAAAGTGGCTGTTAGTCACTCACCTTCCCCACCAGCTCCTCTAGTGTGGGCACAGGCTTGCCTTGCTGGTGGCGGATGGTGGGAGGAGATTGGCCATCCCAATCCTGCAGCTCCTCAATGCTCTTCAGATACAGCAGAGTTTTCAGCCCCACACAGTAATCCTCTATCACTGTGAAGTCCTGATTCTGCACTGCACTGCACACCTGCGCATAAACACACAAACACACATTCTGTTTTTATACAAAATATGTGAAGTCAAAAAGTATCTAGACAACCATTCATTCAATTGCACACACAGCTTGTACAATCTCCATAGAAAAGCATTACCAATAGGATGTGACACTAAGGTCACCATGTCCAACGCCTAAGCATCAGCGAGAGAAGTATAAAGCTGTGGAGTTACAGAGCACCATCCAATAACTTTGGGACGAGTTGGAGTGGTGTTTGGGATCCAGAACTGAATACAATGAAAGGTGCTCGGAAACCTTTATATATAGTCTATGTCCATATGTATTATATGTATCAGTACCAGTGGGGAACCTTCAGGGTCTTTTCTGGGAACTAAAAAATACATGTCTGTTATTTTTAGGTCATCTTTATTTAATAGTGTTATCATGATTGTTTTATTTTAACTCTAAAGAATTGTACTAATGCTCTTGTTTCATTGTTAAGTTTTTGTTGGAAAACAAAATCTTGAACTGCCTAATGGAAAACTGTCCAGTCAGTAATTTTTTTCTTTACCTAAGTGGCACAGCCAAACAAACTGTCCTAATGGTTAGGCCTTCAGGAGCTAAACAGAAAGCATTATATGTTATTTTATCATAATTAGGAAGTGACAGTGGAATAAATCATGTTTCCATTTGCAGTGGCTGGGACCGATTTTGTGAGAAAAAAAAGTGACTCCAGGCCTTCTGGAAGTCCTCGATATGTCACTGACTGAGAATACGTGTGGTAGACTAACCAGGTTTTAGTCAGTTGTTAGAAATGGAAAACAGCATTGGCAGCTCTATGCCAGGACACTTAGGGAGTTACTATAAAACTGCCACACACAAGGTAAAATACATGTTATTGTCAGATACAAGCTTCAGATAAAACATACAGAATGCCCAAAACTGTTAATATGCACCAGCATTAAGTTAGTGCTAGAACACTATTAAAAATCTAACAGAGGTGCAGGCAGAAATTAGCATCAGCATGGATGTGGGTTTTTGTTCTCATTGTTAGACTGAATTTTGACATTTATTTACTCCTAGCACTAATTGTCATGGTTCAGAACTCATAATGTAATAAGAATTTTCTAACTCTAAACTTAACCCAAACCCTTAACTTCAGTAACCAAAAAATGGTTTTGCCCTTTTAGTTATCACATGTAACTTTGGTAAAAAGCACTTAACAAAGTCAGAATCATTCTGTTGGTTCTGACATTATGGGTCAGCCCTCTTTTTCTCTGGTTTACCTACACAATCAGGATATTTCTGTTATGAAAATGTACGCAAACAAACGCCCACATGCACACACACATACACACAGAGCGAGAGATTTAGGCTTGATTAAAACGTGCACCATTACATCAAAAAGACTGACGCAAGCGGGATATACACATCCTGAGATACTACAGGTGACCTTTAAAGAAATCTAATAAATGCTCCCTCATACATAGTGCAAAGATGAGCCTGATAAATCTCAGCTTAAGCCACTAATCAACTGAACCAAACCTCATGTTGAAGCCCTTTCGATTGGCTCTTATATTCTGGGCTTAGCTGGTGTGATTTGCATGGAGCAGTGGGACTTGGGCCTTTGTGTATGTGTCTGTGGCACTTCAGACAGCAGTCACAGGGAGTCTTAAAGCAACAGATAAGACACGCTTATCTCACAGCACCATCACTGATCTGACATCAGCTTGAAACAGCTAAGCGCTACCTTTCACAGGATAAACTCTCAGCTATATAGAAACCGTTCACAGCTGACTCCTGACTTATATGCACACCTCGACTCCTCCCTGCCATTCCTTATCTCAGATTTCTCTACCCCGCCCAAACAAAAACAGTCACAACAACGAACGCCTGGGGATGTAAGCATGGCTGTGTCAATTGTGTATTTAAAAATTAAATCTGAGTCAGAATGCCACATGCTGAGAAAATGGAGCCATTTATTCTAGCTGCCCATGTCTGGCTTACAGATACAGTATGTTTTCGTTAGGATTCTGATTTGCATAAAACTTGTTACTCTGCTCTGCTGCACCAGCCGTCTGTCTCTCCACACGCACACACACACACACACACACACACACACACACACACTAACACACACACACACACACACAAACACACACGCATGCACACGTGAAAAAATTAAATAAACAACAAAAAGAGTCCAATTAAATTTGATAACATTTCACCTTGATTTAATTTCGACAAATACAATGCTGGACATGTAATTTAACAATGGCTGTAATTATGTCATTTAGGAGGGCAGAAACGCTTGAATAAGCCACACATGCCACATGTACCGACCACAAAAAACAGTGGTGCTTCTGCTAACAGTTTGAACTAAGACCAGGAAAATATGTGACTGACTAAACTAATTATTTGCCTTGGATTAAATGAAATGTATTTATGATACTCTACAAGTCAAAAGTTTAAAATTTCAAAGTTAAACTTTACACATTCTGTCTGAAAGAACCTACTACCTCAACCAAAAGCGACCCTGATATAAGATTTCAAAATTGAACCAAAACCTAAATATTCATATTCCGAAAGGCAAATGAGTACTCTGAGTCAAAGCACTGCAACCTCATTTATAGAACTGCTCATGAAATATGTATGAATGAAAGTGAATGAATTCATTAATTATGATAAACAGAACAATTTGTGATCTTCCCATGGCTGGAGTTGTAAAATCTGAGCCTTGTTGCACTGAGTGGAGGAATATGTCCATTAGTGCTCCTCATTTGGTGGGGAACATCAAAGATGTGATGCCCTGCTACAGAGCATTTAGTCCTAATGTGGCTGACTCCTGAAATAAATCGAAGTGAGAATTTCTAAGTAGTTTCCAGGCAATTGAGGCAGCAGGTCCTTTTTATCTACTCTGAAAACTGTGGCTGTGCATTGATTTCGACTCCTTCTGAGATCTCAAATGCTTTTAGATCCCCCCCACACACTCTCTTTGTCAGCTCTTTTATTTCCAGTGATAAAATTCTGGCATTTAGCAGAACACCATCTTCCCAAAAGAGAGGGAGATTAATTCAGTTTGGCATCCAAATGTTACAATGACTATGTATGAAGCTCTTGTCCTTTTGATTAGAGCATTATGCCCAATATGCCAGAGGATATTAGCCACCGATATTTTGTATTGCGTTCCAGGTAAGAGACACTGGCTGTGTGAAACAGCAACGGATCTCAGACGTGTGTGGAGGTGAATACATTTCAAAAGTAATTGAATATGGAATTTTCTTTACTTTCTTTTTTCAATAAAACCCAGTATCCAACCACCCCCACCCCTCCCCCTTTACTGGATTTTGTGAATTGAAGGGAGCACATAACCTTTTCCTTTTGTTTTCATCTATAGAAATACTGTAAGTAGTGCTTCTTCAATCAATATCTTAACCATGGAACATGCTGCTTGTTAAAAGCTTGCTTTGTGCTGTCTGATCTTTCCTTCCCTACAGAGACACTTAGCTGTTTCAACCCGAATTACGAATTCCTGATGTTTTCTGGGCCACAAGTCATTTTTGCTACCTGATGATGGCTCCTTTATTGCAGCTCACAGCTGTTTACATGCACCAGAACGGACAGAAATTGCAGCGTGGATCATTAAGATTGAACTGGCCCGGCCATTAGTGAAATACTGCTCCACTGCCCCAAAAGACCTGCCGACGACAACACTGTGACAATATGCTCTCGCTACTGCTAAATGCAGCAATTTCAATACCTCATTAGGACAGGAGAAAACCTACCAAAACAGGTGAATGTTATTAAAGAGGGAGAAGCAGTCCTTTACAACAACTCAGAGGCGACGTGAATGCTCGGTGTAATATTTCTGAGCAAGAACCAGTGCACAAGCAGGCTCTTTATGCCCTCGTGAACAGCTGTAGATAATAAAAGCAGCTAGGTTACTCTCACACACATACATGCAGAGAGCAATAGGCCCCATACAGAGCAGAAATCCCCTACAGGGTGATTGCAAAGCAATGTTTTTGGTAATGAATCAACTAAGAAGTATTGATCGACAAGTGGATCGCATTAGTTCCTCCAGCATATGGGCTTGGTGAGATATCTTTAGCTACAGACTGGTCCTCCTGTATCAAAAGAAGGCACACACAGGAAAGTAAAGCCACTTTAAAAGGGAAGAGAAGATAGCTGTTGTTCAGCATTGCTTCCATTTGGCACATAGCATAATCAAAAAGGGTCTTGGTAAGCAGCTGTCTTGAATGTATGACTTCAGAAAGCTGGTCTTCAATAACCAAAGAGTGACAAAACACCCTGATCGATCTAAGCAGAAATCAATACAGGATATGAATGGACTTCATTATATTGTTTGTTCTATGGAGAATATGTTTGATGTGGTGCAGAGTCAATCGCTACTTAGAGACAATAGCACAAGTGTCTCTAGCATTGAAACAGACAGCAACATACTTACTGCCCAGAACCTTAATTCTCCCATTCAAGCCTTCTATGTTCCTTCAGTTCCGACTACAAGACTCCCTGATTGTATGAGTCAGAATTACACCTCATTCTTTCACTGCCATTTTTCAATAAATGTGCCTTGCTATAGCCATAGCCAGCATTCCTGAAGCATGTGGGAAGATGAAGTCTTTTTTGTGAGCTTCCCCTAGGATAAAACATTGCACAGAGGCTAGAGAGTGTGTTATTACCATCAGAAGTAATGCTTTAGTCTTTGGCTATGATAAAAGGCTACTGCTATCTGTGTGTGGTTATTTTGCAGCAGCAATTTCACAAAGCCTTGGGCCTTTGAGCCATCACTGAACAAATGCCACATCGTGTCTCCTAAACAAACTGCAGACTTCCAAGTTCCATCCTAATCCAAGCCAGAATTCACAAGACTAATCCTCTGCTAAAAACTTAAACAACAAAATATATTTTCTTTCATCCCAGGGAAACAAAAATCCGTCTAAAAGCAAGAACGCTTCACAAATAGTGATTATATTTTAGAAGATGAAATACAAATTAAGGCTTTTCAAAGCAGAGAATCTGTAATTGAAGGCATTATGATTCGATCAAGAGCCCATTTTTATTCCATAATTAAATTTTCATATTAATTCAGAGGATGAGTCTCTGGATGCATTACAAAAAAAGCCCCTCATATCCCAAGTGTTGAGACTTAACAGGTGGGTGAAGGAGAGGCATTACCGAAACATTAAATCATATTTTAAAAATAGTGGATGCATTTATTCACAGATAGCGATTCAATTTGCATGCAGATTCTCTGACTTATTACTCCCCAGACACAACCCATTGAGGATATAGACTTTGAAAACACATTCCAATGTTCCGTTTACAATTTATGTTCGGACATTAATTGAACTCAAAAGTTTTCCAATGAAAACTTTATCTACGTCTGAGAGGCACATTTTCACAATACATTTAGCTGAATGACAATATCATTCAAAAACAACTGCAATTGAACCTCATATTAACAAGCTAATTACATCTGTTATTCTGCACTGAACCTGTATTTGACAGCCTGATGCAAGCTGGATTAAAGCAAACGTGCAAAATGAATTTAGACAGCCACAATACCTGCAAAACTGAGGCTCCGGCGTGGAGGAACTGCAAGCCGGACTCTGCGGAGTCGATGCCCCCAGTGGCCAGGATAGGGAAGCCTGGCAAGGCCTTCGCTATGGCTGACACTGCACGCAAGGCGATGGGACGAATGGCATTACCTGTCACACGCAAATAGAAACACACAAAAGTCAAGAAATAAACAAATCTATATTTCAGGATATTGAATTATTTGATTTGCAGAGTAAGCTTGCAAGATGTGTGAAACGGTCAGCCAGTAGTGTCTTTGTTCTGATCACAAAATGTACTTTCCACTCACACCATCACAAGCATTAATGACCCTCATCACAGTCATGTCTGCCTCGCTCCTTTTCTTTCTCTTTCACACATAAACAAACACACACACACACACACACTTGGTTTCAGACTGAAATCTCCAGGGAGCGCCGCTACCTCCTAATGTTACAACCTTTATTTATTTACCTGGGTCTCAGTGTCCTGAATGAATTAAAACCTCCAGTCCAATCCCGGTGACAGATGGAGCCGTTTATCACATTAGATTTAACCACAGTTAGCTGGCAGGCTTTTCCCTCATTGATCAGTGGGAGACATTGTCTCCCCTCATTTAGCTCCAGTGTCACTAAAGTCTAGTGAGGAGGCACTGGCAGACATGCAAATACCAGCTTTTTCTTTCATGTTAAATGACCCTTATTAATGGCACAGAGAACATAAGAAGAGTCTCAGTCTCCTTTGTTTTCTTTTTCCCTTACAAGCAGAAGGTATCGGATTGCCACACGTTGTACTTGAGAACAGAAATACTTGGAAGTAATGTTGTGTGATGCAAAGATCTATCACACTTTTCATTCTGTATTTCATCTGCAAAAATAAAATGAAAAAAAAAAAAAGTCAGGAGAACAGGGCAAGTAGCACAGCATGGCCCTGTTTCCAGTGTTGATCCAGCAGGTTTCATGGGTCACACGAGCGTTATGGATTAAAGTGACAGGCTGCCTGCCTGACCACAGAGCTGAGGCATCCTCTCACCTTCATCGAGTGATGGGTTTATCTCCTCTAACACCGTCCTGCACACTCCTCCCATGAAACATGCAATCCCTGACACCTAGAGCCATGTAATCTACTGACATGAATTACAGTCAACTTGGTCGGGGGACACTTAGCAATTCTGCTAGCTGACACTCAAATGTAAGCCTGGGGATTTGAGTGCGAGTGTGGGTCACACTCACTGCCCACAGAGAACTGGAGAAAACATCTAGGGAAGCTTCTGAGGCTTCTAATTGCATTAGCAATGGATGAGCAATGCTCAGTGACTAGCCCTACCCACAGTACATTCATAACACTTTTCCTATATGAATAATTATTCAAGGCAGAAAAGTCTCGGGACCTCATTTGATAGACAAGGGGAAAAAAATAAAAGGAAAAAAAAAAAAACATACAAGCTTGAGTGACAGTGGACTTCCAATCTTGCTGTGTTGCTTTTGTGTTAATAACACTGCTTGTCCCTTGCCGTTTTTTTTTCTCCACAGGAAACGACAACGCCTGTTGTTTATGGACAATGTATGTGCATACAAGGTGGCTGCAGTGCTGAGTAGCCTGGTGATCACAGGTCAATACTTCCAGAAATACTCCAGCATTTTCAATCTATTCTCTATCTTCCTCATTGGCAGCATACTGTAGATCAGCAAGGACAATCATTTTGACACATCTGCCCACTGGCTTCTATTAGTGTTGTGTGTGTCAACGACTTTTCTGTTATTTTATTAAGCGGAGGAAAATGTGTCAAAATTACTGTCTGTGGTAATGGGCCATATGCTATAAATGTGGCAGATAAAGATTAGGCTGAAATTCAGGTCAGTGATCTCAGGTCAGTATTTAAACTGTAACATTCTCCTGATCTAAGGTTAGTATGTAAAATATAACAATCTACTGATCTCAGGTCAGTATTTAAAGTATTTATAGCATTTAAAGTCTAACAGTGTTCAAATTTCAGAACCATATTTAAACTGTAACCATTTCCCAATCTAAGGTCAGTATGTAAGCTGTAGCAGTCTACTGATCCTACTGATCAGTTTTTAATCTGTAACTTCTGATCTCAAGTCAGTATTTAAGCTTTAACTTTGTCCTGATCTCAGGTCAGAATTTAAGCTGTAACTATCTCCTGATGTCAGGTCAGAATTTAAGCTCTAACTTTGTCCTTATCTCGGGTCAGTATTTATGCTGTAACTGTCTCCTGATCTCAGGTCAGTATTTAAACTGTAACTGTCTCCTGATTTCAGGTCAGAATTTAAGCTGTAACTGTCTCCTGATTTCAGGTCAGAATTTAAGCTGTAACTGTTCCCTAATCTTAGGTTTGTAGTTGAGCTCTGATCATCTCTTGGGCTCAGGGAAGACATGGTCATACGTAGTAGGTGTTCATCTCCCCTCTCTTCTACAGCCGGGTCAATCAGCATGAGGCACTCAGGCAAGCTGTGCACGTAACACCTGCTATTTTGATGAATAATTCCAAGCACAGTGAGATGTACGCAGGAATCAGACAGTACATGGGGGCCTGGAATTTGGAATCATCAAACGAATAGGTAAAATAAAAAGCACATCCAGGGAAAGGCAATTAGGGAAATCCTCTCAGACCTGACCTGCAGGATCATAATGAACACTACTACCCCCTCTACGCTGCATGTTGTGGTGCTGCGAATGGCAATTGAGGCAAGTGGAAGATACAAAAGGAACGTGCTAGTACGGCTCATACATTTAACAAATCTGTGCTTTAGTAAGTGATCCAGATACATGGCAACATGTGTGAGGGGAATGAGAAAGGGCAGTGAAAAAAGGCGGATGAAAATAAAGATGAAAGGATGGGCTCTAGGGCACGGGGGAAAAGTCAAACATGCACACCCATCATTAGCATATTGCGTTAATAACTAATGGCTGACATACATGGAGCACATGAATGAGCTTTGGCATCCTGCGCATTTGCAATAAATAAGATCATGCATTTCATCCTTCAGATCTCTTTGCAAAGTGCCAGGGCCTTTATGTCTTTCAGTCTATAGGTGGCCACACAAAGCCGTAGTCACTTTGACAGTGCTATCAGCTTTCTGTCTTGACAGTCACATTAATATAATAAGCAATTTATTTGAATAACCAATTTCAGGTTAAAATAATTCAGGTGAAACATGGTGAATGCATTTGTTCATTTTAATGTAATGTAATAAAAGTGTAAAGATAATTCTGACATTTAGGAAAATGTCATCAGTTCACCTTTTCCCTTTGATGGCGCGATGGCATTATATTTAAACAATTATCCGATAAAACAAAGCGACATAATAGAATTTGTATAAAAAAGCAAGCAGTACTGTTTTTTTCACTGCAGAATGATCAAATTCTCCTGAGATGCTGTTCAAATATATACTAATGCCAACACATTAAAAAGTTTCACTTTTTCAAAGCAGTACTTTTTAAACTTTCAAAAGCTAGACAGGTAAGACTGTCCTAATCCATTAATTGGAAGAATCAGTTAGATACACAAGTAACTGTTACTGAATGGAAGCGTCTGCACCACTGCCCTTTTCTCTGTGGTGGGTAAAGCGGCCTCAGGTTCTGCTCTCAGTGATGCCTATCTGGTGGGCTGGGAAAGATGCATAATTCAGCGTTCTGATCCACATGCTTGCTATTCAGGGTCCGCAAAGGCCACGGTGCTCTGTGTCTACCCAGTGCGTGCCGAGCTGTGAGCGCCTTTGTAGCCATCTCTTCTCTCTCTGTCAGCATTAGCTTTCGTCCCTGTGCTCCCACAGTGGGTCAGGCCAGGCCGGGCACTCCCCACAGCTCACACACTCACTCTTATTTGCATGTAATACAGAAATATAGCTTGTGCTGTTTAGCAACTGGGCAGATGAAAATGTACAGATAAATCACTAATTACCATGCTGCAAGGGCCAAAATACACAAGATGTGCACGGAGGGAAAAGCTTTGTTCGACTGATAAGATTTAAGCAAAATATTGCCTCTTGTTGGCAGACACAGGAGAAGACTACGCTCGAAGCACTAACATGCTCTTGCATAAAATGGCCAAGTTGATTTCTGAGTCTTTCAGCACAGGCTCACAAAAGGGCCTTCAATTTCACTCTGCCAGCCTGTTATGCTGGAATATGAGAGCACGTGAAAAGGCAGCAAGGCTGTATTGCATCAATAAATTATGGCCCGTGTGCTTACAATGGTGTGCAGCGCATTGTAAAAAACACGTTATAGTAGAATGAGCATGAAATATAAAATATGGGTAAGCTGTGATGGCAATGAATATTTCTGATTCTTGAACAGTACCTGACACACTACCCCTTTAGCTCCCAGTGCACGTTTACCAACTGCATTCATTTTTCAGCATTGTTTTCATTATCAATTTGGCGATTTGCTGCAAATAAAACAGACTTCAAGAAGAGCTGCTGTAGGAAAGAGTCAAGAGTTTGAGGTCAGAAAAGGAAAAAACGGTACATATTTCAAGCTAAACCGTTCTTCATTTAATAGATATTGATTTATAACTTGAAATATTGACGTTCTGAAGTTGGTTTGAAGCTGAAGAACAGTAGATATTGCAAGTAATCTTGTGTAATGATATAAGAAACAGAATAGTAAATAGATACATTAAGCGAACTCGATGGTTTGCATCCATATATAGACTGCATTACTGCAAGCTAATTTGCAGTGGCTTTTGACCACTACTGAGTGTAACAGGCAGAAAAAACATCATTCTAACCATGGAGAAAATAACTCTAATATGCAGCATAATTAATACCTAAATTACTCCATAATCACTTTTTTACTTGAGGTTCCATGTAAATTTTCCTCTTATTTAATATTAATCTAATTATAATGCATTTGATGAAGCCTTTTACACAGCTCTATATACTAATTAATTCTCGCAAACCCACATTTTTATGATACTCACTGCAGCAGTGAGAGCAGTGCAGCTGACAGAGAGAATACATCTGAAAATACAGGAAAGAAGGAACTCAGGATGTGAGTTTCAGGAGTCAACAGATGGAGTGTTTGTGGTGGGGTAGCACTGCACTTTGTTGCTGGTTCAGAATAAAATGCATCATTTGAATGAAAGTGTCTTACTTCACTCTATTTTTTTTTTTTTTACTTGTGTCGC